TCCATCCTTCCATCCTTCCATCCTTCCATCCATCCCTTCATTCTATCCCTCCAAGACTTACAAAAGAGCAATAAGTCATCTCAAAATCGCACACATTCAAATAATAATTCAAGAAATATAAAATCCAATGTAAAAAAGAATCAAATATTATCGGAGACAATTATTCTTTCAAGCAATAAATTGCCCGTTTTGTCTGGAAGTAAACAGGTAAATCTCAAGAAAGGTAATACTTACAAGTAAATCAATTCGTATTCTCTTTTGGATATGATATTCTTCTCTTGTACCAGTGTTAACCACTCTTTTAGTATCTCTTCCTCGTTGTCCAGAGGTCGCTCAGCTGAAACACAAAACAACGGTTTTCTAATAACTTCCCTAAAACCAATATGTGGCTAACTAAAACCTTGTTGATGGTTTGAAAGAACTTGTTTGACCTGTCTGTCTGTCAGTTTGATTGTTGTTTGTTGGTTGGTTAAGTGATCGGTTGGTCGACAACTCGATTTGTTGACCGACCAGTCGGTCGGATTAGCTGGTTGCCTGATCACTCTGCGATTCTGAGGGTTATTATCGGTTAGTCAGCCGGTCAGTCCGTCGGTCGGTTGATCGAAAGGTCGGTAGGTCGGCCGATTTATTCGATAGTCGGCAAGTTGGGTTAGTCTCTTGGTCGGTCAGTCGGCAGGTCGGTTGATTTGCGTTCAGTTGTTCGGTTTCCTATTTTTCAATTAAAGACCTAATCACGATACTTACATCCCATAGTGGTCCTTAGCATCTTCTCCATCTCAATCCCTCTCTTCTCCAACTCCGCATGCAACGTTTCTAACGCCTGTAACTCATCAACCATCTCCGTTGGCGACAACACAATCTCTTCCTCTTGAACCAAGTCGGACTTCTCTCTCTTAATTTTACAGTTCCTCAATGACCTAAAATAATCATTCTGAGCTTTCGAAAAGTTATTCCCTTCGACACCGAAATAAAATTCACCCTCGATGTCAATAGTTTCAACGCTGTTTTCTTCGATAATAATATCCCCATCTAGTCCTTTAGTGTTGCATTCACAAGTTTCTACCGTAAAAAAGCGACTGTTCACTTTTGTATACGAAGATTCTTGTGCTATTATGATGGACATTTTCGGCGAATCGCAAGAAGAGTTTGTTTCAGCGAGAGAGTTTTGACTCGGCCATCTTGTTTCGTACGAAGATACTGGAGAGATCGGAGAGTCAGGAATTGAAGAGCTGTCGCTAAATGGCGGACTAAATAGACGGTTATTTGATGACACGGATGTTTGACTGCAGCTTCTTTCTCTCTCGCTCTCGTCTCTCTCACTGTCACTGTCAACAGATGGTCGTACGATAATAGGGATAGTTCTTCTAGTAGGAGAAGGTGTCGAGGAAGATGAAGAGCCTAGGTTTTCTGAAGGTGACAATTTGGGCAAATGTTTGCTTTTAGCTTGAGATGAATTACTAATCTTCTGCGATTGTGATTCATTGGAAGTTCTAGAATTTTCGTCTGGGTTTCCAAGTATGTGATTGGTTTGGTTGCACAGATCACGTGATTCGTTAATGGCGTCATCCATGTGACTGGCGCTGCTTTGTCCACTAGAAGTCCCCAATGAATTGTTCGATTCTTCAGAGTCCTCGACTCTTTTCCCCTCTTTTTCCATCTCATTTTTCTGGTCATTTGACAAGTCTTCTTTTCCTTTTGATTGTTCATTCCAGTTTCTGACAACCCTTCGTATTTCCCTCTGCATTCTTTCATTCTTCTTCGCGAGTTTCTGCTTGTGTTTGTTTTCAATTATGTCTTCAATGTTCATAAACTTTTGGCGAAGTTTCTGGACGCTTCCTTCTTGTGGTCTTTCTTCTTCTTCTCTGCTGTAAGCATCATTTAATCCTACAGAATCCTTGATTTTTTCCTTCCAAACCTGTTTTCCTTTAGTATCCTGTTGGTTGTTTGTCTTTTCAGGCGATTCCGCATCGGCTCCTTCATCTTTTTGTAGCGAATTCTGGGGAGACAATTTTGGTTTCACTGGATTTATCCTCACACAAGACTTAACTTTACCGTTTTCTCTCTTAACCTCAATTTCTAATTGAGTAGGTCCACCTTTAGTAGGAAGAGAGTTGTCGCTTTGTGATTTCTTTAGCTCAATTTTCGAGTTCATTGAGACCGAAAGAGTGTCCTTTGGAATGTTTTTCTCTACAGAGTGTCGTCGGCTACTGGAGTTTTTTCGCCTCGTGGACGAAAGATCCTCAAAGCTCTTTGGAAAAGAGTCTATTGTGATGGAATTCTTTTTGACGATTGAAAAGGGAGGAGTTAGACTGTTGCTTCGAGAACGCGAGTCCAAGGATGATTTTCTAGTGTGTGATGTGTCAGCTTTTTCTAGCACGTCGAATACCTTATCCGTGATTGGCTGAAGTTTGATCTTAATGTCGTCTTGCTTCTTTCTGAAGTCTGTTAAAAGTAAACCGTTATTGTTACTAAATATATCGGTATTAATATATCAGTCGGTCACTCGGGTCACTCGGTCGGTCACTCGGTCAGTCACGATCGGCCAGTCGGCCAGTCGGCTGGATCACATATAAGTTGAGTTTGTTTAATGTGTTGTTCTCTCCTGTGCCACGAAAGTTTTTCTCCAGGTTCTCCGGTTTCCTCCCTTCGTAAAAATCACTTTGTGAGTCGTAAATATGTATGTTGTAAATATAGAATGTAATGGTAGTGCGTGTGAAGGGCAGCTCACGAAAAAGCCCCGTATCGGGAGTCAGTCAGCTAATCGACGTCAGTCATTTTATAGACCCTTTGCATTGATTTCCTAGAGGAATTTTTTTAGGGGAAAAAACAATAGGCCGTCTTTTCTTATGCAAAAACAAATCCATCGTTTGTCCCCCAGTACTCAGTGACTCAGTGTAAGAGGTCTATACTATAGTAAGGTGTTAACTCACCTCCCATGCATTCATAAATACAGCAGAACGTTTCAGTTTCTGGACAATAAGAATACGTCCCAGGAGTCAACACAGAATCACATTTACTGCATTTAAAGCAAGCTCGATGGAACAGCCTTTGCTCTGCTACAAGTCTTTCAATGATGTACACTTTCTCTTCACAGATGGAGCACTTAGTTCCAAGATAAGGTAGACGGGGAGCCATGCTCGGGGGATGAATGGTATCTGTTTTCTTGTCCTTAAATATAAAAAAATGGAAAACGAAATAACAAAGATCGAACTTTCATTTTTGTATGAGCATTATTTCTTAATTCTATTTCTTTCCAAGCATTATATTCATGTGCCTTCTCTTCCGTATCCGTAGAACACAGGAATGACACTCTAGGAAATGACGCTTGGTCTGAAATGGGAAAATATTGCACCACAACCAAATGATACCCTAGGGAATGACACGTGGTCTGAAATGCAAAAACATTGCACCACAACCAAATGATA